CGGGGACCTCGCAGTGGAAGGAGTGAGGGGAAAGGAGGGTGGGGCCAAACCTTTCCAGGCCTCTGGGCGTGTTACCGATTTGGGTGTCTGCCCTAGGTGCAGTGGCCAGCCACTGAGGGATTGTGCATGAGTGTGAGGGCTAGTGTGGCCGGCGTGGTCTTTGAGAAGACAGACCGAGGGCTGGCTGGGATGCGGCTCTGGGGCCAGGGGGGGAGGTGTGTGTGGAGGTTCAGGGGCGGTTTAGGAGAAAAAACTGATGGGACTCCGTGAGAGGGAGGGGGTGGCAGGGACACAGCTGTCTCTGGGGTGGGCAGTGTCACTGCATAGTGTCGTCACCTTGAAGAAGTGATGCTGAAGTTGGAAACTTCTCGACACCTGCTTTCATGGCAGAGAAAAGTGTTCTAAGCGTCCTGGGCATCGAGATCCCGTGTGCAGGGCCTAACGGGCCATGCTGACACCCACGACCCGTGTGCACAGTTCTCTGTCCTTCAGTGAGAGGTTGTCCGGTTTCTGGGTGGCCAGAGAGCACAGACCACTAGGACAGGGTGACTGGGAAAAGGAGGGACCAGGTGTAAGAGGAAGGCTACTTGGATCTATCCACGTTTCTAAGTTTTCATGAAGGTGAAGTAAATAAATTTATTTTAAATTGTCTCTTGCAACTTAGTAGCTTTATCATTTTATAATTGAGTGTAGCCAAATGGATTCCTGGATATCTGAGCATATATCAAACCATCGGAGAATCCCCCCAAGTATGTATAAAAGAAAAATAACAGACGCTTTTACCTTTCTTAATAGGATTGATTACATACTGTGAACTGGAAATTCATTTTTCTCTAATCAGACCTTGGGTGTCTTGTTAATGAAGCCATTTGACGGGAGATGGATTAGATTTAAACACAATTGATTTCCAGAGAGCACAGATGATCATTTTTATACTAGAATAAGTTACCATGGGAAATCTCGGTGCTTGTCTCTTTCTGGACATTTAAAGTCCCTATGCCTTTGTGCTTGCTTTGTGCACGTACACGGTCTGACAATTAAATTCACGAACTCATCCTAGAAAAAGTGCTACATAGCTCCTTGCTGAATATCACTAGGTCACCTTCGAAGTCCTCCCCTTGGGAAGCTATGCACCAATGCCAGCGCCTAGTCCACCCTTCAAAGCAATTCTGGAGCTCTTTCTGGAATGACCATCAGAGCTGTCGTCATATTACCC